GTTATCTAGAGACTGATGAGGAGTCCAAAATGCAGCTTGACTGAGGGGTGGGTAACAGTAACAAAAGATTAACAAGCACTCAAAACAAGTTAAGATGAGTCTAAAGCTGAAAGGACTGCCTGAAGGTCTTTACACCCAAAGCTTGATGGAACATTATCCTTAAGTGTTTTGACTTGAAGCATAATGGGAGTAGTAGGGGTTATATCTGGCTAACGGCTCTTTTGTTTGCCAGTATCCTATTCCTCCTGTAAAGGAAGTAAAATCTATCAGTGTCTCAGATACTTCTGATTCCATGCCCCTAAATGAAAGATAAACAAAAAACATTTTGCAAAGCATGGAACCTAGTGCTATGAAATATAAGTGGCCATGAAATATAGAAGATTACTACATTTTAATAGGTTAAGTAAAATAAACATGTTCATAATGACTCATACAATACCTTCCAGAATTACATTTTGCACATAACTAAACTCATGTATACTAATATGGATTTACACGTGGACACTTTTCACATTCTCTCTACCATTAGATTGTATAACCTCCCTTTGAAATTGGTAAAGCTAACCTGTTTTGATAATAACTAAGTACACAACGACCTTGTTTACTGGTAAATATGGAATTGTAGTATTTGAGCAAGTTATAGAATTAAATATATCTGGTCCTATTTTCAGACATTCTGGTCCTTCTATTTCCTCTAAAGTTAACTTTCATATATATGGTATTCTGCCAGACACTATAGATTTCAGATACCAGGGGCAGTCAAGAAGCAAAATCTGCCCAGTACATCAATAATTGATCTATTTCCTTCTCCCACTAACCCAGTAGTTTCTTTTAATCAACTACCTAAAGCTGCTACATTATTATATTTCTGACTACAATGATTACACCAGCCTACCATAGATGAATCATAAATGGCAAGTAAATTGCCTTCTTGAGCTGAGAGGATTGAGATTAAATGATTGAAACATACACTGACACTGTCATTAGTTCTAAAGGCAGATAAATACAATAACACCCTCTACACTGGGTGTATTAATCTTCACTACAGCCATACAACATTAAAGCTAAAAAACAGTAAAGCTAAAAAGGCACTGGTACCTGTTTAAAATACCAAATAGCACAATGGCCTTTGTTTCACTTCTGCTATAGTTATGTTACCTTGTGCCAATATTTCAGATTTTTGTTTTAATTTTCTGCAAATAAAACTAGGGTTTCCATGTACCATGTCTTCTTTGGATTAACGATGAGATAATCAAAATCAGGTACACTAGGATTTTATATAAAGTTTGTCATCCTACAATCTATTAATTTTTTCAGCTCGGCATAATGTATCCCTTTGTGTGTATGCCTTAAATACTTTGTAACATGTCATTAAATATATTTCCCTTTTGAAGCTCCAAGTTGCATAGGGTTTTCCAACTTTTTTCTCCTGTTTTAAAACGCTCATCCAAAAAAGTCTGGCCCAGCATCAAAGCTAAACTATATCAGGGCGGCATACATAAGTAGTTTTTCTAGCTTATAAAGATAACAGGGGGCACCATGTTCTAGGTACGACTGATATGTGTCCAACGGTCACTGCTTAAACCCTCTGCAAATATTTTAGATGATAAAAGAATATCTCCCAAAATACAGAATTGGTATTTTTCTTTCTTTTGAAAATGTCATTGTAAATGACATTTCTTATGACAATTTACAACTGTAGTTAGCTGTCATCTACATGGAATTTGTGGAAAATAAAACAATGTCAGCGAGTTTTTAATTATGCATTTTATTTCATGGTAACATTAAAATCAAGTATTTGAAGTTCCAAAAGCTGTGATACACATATCAATATGTATAGAACAAACTAATTTGCTTTTTGTCCTCTCTGAAATAGAGCCATATTGATAAAACCTTTATTTTGTGTAAAATGCCACATTGATCTAATATCGGCAAGAGGAGGCTTGATCCCACTGCATTGACTTGGCTCAGCAGTCTTCATTAAGAAGTGACTTTTTAAAATCCTTTTCATCCACACATAGTCAATAACCTATTAATGTGTGTTGGAAGAAATTGAAAGGAGAAGTAATTGTGTAAGGAAATAAGAAAAATATACTAGGAGCTGAACTTAAGGTAGGGGCTGTGATAAACATCTTATGGAATGGTAGGCAATCATTTAATTTTTAAATTTCACTCACAAATAGTTTCTACAGGCTGAGCTTCAAGTGTAAATCATAACATGTTTTCATCTTCTATCTTGGAATCCCTATTGCAAAGTAACTGAATATGAGTTCATATAAACTCTTTTATGAACACTCCATAAAGCCATGTAAATGCTTTAAAATTCATAGCTGAGCAGACCATATCTCTTATCTATGTATCTGAATGATCTATCTTCTTACCTATTTATGAGGTTGTAATGAAACACATTTTGCTTTTTTTCAGTAATCACACCATGCATGGTCAGAAAAATAAATGACTGCTAAAGGGCATAGTACCCATTTAATGACCACATTGTCATGTCACAAGTGTACTCGCTTATGTATTTTTTTTACCTTAACAATCTGTGTAGCTGGGTTATCTGATTACTTTACAGAGCATGGTGGTCATTTAGATTTTGCTTAACAGCCATGTTTGTCTTATATGTCTCTCCCAGTGCTTAAGCTATGCAAATAAATGTACTGTTATATGGATACTAAAAAACCTGTAACAGTTTGTATGTAAGTACTATTAAGGGTGGTTTTCTTATTTCCTACACCTTCCTTTAAAATTACTTGCTCTTGATAAAAATATTTAAAGTATACTTCTACTACAGATGGGTATACACTGGTAGATTTTTGTATGAACAACAGTGCAAAAAATCTCATCAGAACATTTGATAATGCCATCAGAGACTTGACAAAGGTTGTTGACAATGTTATTAGTTGTAACAATCTATTTTGGAATGAATGGAGTTTCCTGAATGAAAGCCACATTCACTGTTAAAATTTTGTTCATTCAAGAAAAAAATTCCATCCTGCTCCTTTGATTTTCTTCACCACTATGAATGAAATGGATCGTTGATTTGGCCACAATAACTATTAGAAAATAAAATGAAAGTCCCCCCCAATTTTTTTTAAACAAAATTTTAACTGAATATACACCAGCTTACCACTATCTGGCTAATTCATGGATGCTGGAGAAGATTAAATGAGAATAATATTGAAACAGTTGCTCACAGCAACTAAACATAATTGTTGTTGCTTTTTACATAAAACAAGATATAAAACCTAATTGGTTGTCCAGTTTTAATAAACCATTTCTCATTTGTCCTAATAGCAGTACATGATTAAAATGATAATACATAAAATTATAATGAAAACTCGTTACAAAGGCTGGACTTCATGCAACCAAGGATGTCCAACTGCCAATACATGACCAGCTCCATTTATATGAATCATTTTGGAATTTGCCATACTTTTTTTCACTTATTCGAGTGTTATGCTATATATTATATTATACTGTATGTGTTGTGGTTTTGTATTCAGTAAGGTTGATTTACCTTAGGGGGAAAGCCTGTTCACTTAACAAAATGAATGTTTGTTTTGCAAAGATAATTCTCATTTAGCTTATTGGGTAAATCATTTACTTTCAATACCCAATTGTGCAAAAGTTGTAAAAGGAACAGGATAATTGCTTGCACATGAAACACATCTCAACCCTATTCACAAAGCTAAATGGACATTCACAGTGCACATTCATTTGAACATTGCATAGTAAGAATTCTCTATTCCTTTAGAAATTTAACCCGACTATATTTTCTTTACTTGATTAGGATTAGTGAGTACATACTGTAGTCTGAAGATAGCAATGCGTTTAAACTGAATGGCCATAATTCTAAAGACAGCCTTAGATACAAAAGTGCCATATAATGATACAGGGTTTTTGCACATCTTTATGTTTATGGTGCCTGATCAAATTTTGGCACATGTCTTCAGGTTGCAAATATTATTTGAGATGTTTATTGCACGTGCTTGAAAATTTTGGATGACCTCTTTTCAAGACCATCTCGAAAAGCTGTCATGCAATGTGTGATAATGAACAGCTTCTGTAATAATACGTCTGGGTAGTTTAAGAGATACAACCTTACAAAGAGTAGCAGCGTTATGGGAAAAAGAAAGAAGCATGAGGTAAATTATTATTTACGTATGATAAACAAATTCCTTCAAAAAGCATTCCACATCCCAAATTTGAAATGTGTTGTTAGTTGTTAGTGCGGTTATTTACTCCTAGACTATATTTCATGTTTTTTTGTTAAGCAATGATGTCTGCATTAACAATATCATGAAGCTGATTTGCTAAAGGAGTTGAGAATGTTTACTCAATACTGTATGTTGTATGAATATACACTGCAATGCAGTTGTATGAAAAGCAAATTACTGTTTATTTATTTCATCTGCACTTGATTGCATTAAAGAAGTGAATATTCTCAATTCTTTTAGTAAATTAGCCCTATTGTCTTGTGAAAGTTTTTTCTTTCTATCAGCATATTTCTTTTAGGTATTTAACCACTTAGCGCCAAACTCCAAGCAAACAGCTAAATATACAGATAGAATACATATATATGGGACCTTTGTTACCTGCCAAAGGAATTGTTTTTCTGTCTATCCATTTCTGAGATTTATGCAACATCCTCAAACAGCACAGCTCTTTGGATAACACCACTTACCGTATAAAGGTATACAGGAAAAGCCTTTTCTTCAACCCCTGCCTTTTGGCTGAAGAGTTGAAAAAGTAGAAACAGACTGAAGAGGTCATCCATCTGCTCACTGTGCTTTCTCCTCCAATCAGAATGTTGTCATGTCATACCATGACTGCATGCAGCATACCTGCTTAGCTCCCAGTCCAGCCCTCCCTTCCAGTCTGGGCTCTGCTGCACAGTAGTATTTTTTTAAATTAATAATGAATATAGAATTGCAATCATTTGTGTCTTTTATATCTGCCTGGAGTACAGCTTTAATGGCTTATAACAAGACACTTACCAGCACTGTGGCCACACGGAGAACTACCCCTCGCATGTTGTTCTCTAGCTTTCTGTCTGTTAGAGATCCATTCAGACCAGTTGCAGGGTTCCACCAGCCAAGCTGAGAGATAATAAAAACAGCTGTCAGGATCAAAGCTAATTGATTTGCTGGTAGAGGAAGATCACATTAATAAAATATTATACGCTGACACACTAAGTGTTTGTGAAAGGAAACATCCATATGACATTGTATCAAATGTAACAATACTTCAGTGAACAACACAACTTTAAATATTAAATAAAAACTAAATAAAATAAATATTCTCTCTAATGTAGAATTCAAACGATTTCCTGCAGCCTCATCACTGCTGTTTGATTCATCTGTATTGTCTGACATCTTTTGTTCTGAACAAGCCTCTTGATCTTGTATATGTAGAGCTATTTGTAGCAGCCATTCTTCCTGCACCAGCCAGTAACACTACCCATCCTTTCACAAACTTTACTTTTCACTGGAAAATAAGGTACTTTTTGTAAATATGTCATTATCCTGTTTCCTTTCAAAGGCATTTTGCTTCATCAGCAGGAGGTAGTGTGCTTTTATTTTTTCAGCAGAGAGTAAACATAGTCAATAAAGTTAGAGAGGGGGACAGTGTATCTTGATTTTCTCCACATTTCCTTTTGAAACACTAAAAATAAAAAGTGTACTTTTGCCACCTATGTACACATGAGTTCTGTATGAAGCATTTATTTTTCTTGGTATTTGTATTAAAATGTATGTACAGTCAAATTATTTTCTTTAGTTTTGGATAAAGTAGTAAAAGGTTCTCTGTCCATACTTTGCTGTCTGTATCCTGCTGAGGAGATTCCCTTTTGGTCGCAGAAACAGGAATTAAGAGAAAATCTATACAAACTGCGAGTAATTTTTCACTTAGATGGCTGTCACTGAAACAGTGATTTCATTGGAACATGTTCCCTCACTTCATGATCTGGTGAAAAAAATTATGGATTTCCTGTTACTTTCTGACTTGGTGTCAATGGTCATCAGGAATAACAGAAGGGCAAATCCACATAAAGGGAAAAAAAAGACAGCAATAAAAACTTAACAAGGGTTCTAATGAGCAGGGGGCCCTACTCTATCCACATTTCATCAAAAAGCATTGGTTATACATACACTTTAATGTCCCAGTCATCATCTAATTCAAAGTCCAACTCCTGACAAATATTTTTTTAAATTCTGCATAGAGTGCAAAATGGTTGGAACTGCTGTCAGATTTGTATTTCTGTCTGTGTCCCCGTTTGGGAAATTTCTCCTCTCTTCCTATCTATTTCACAGTAGAGGAATGTCTACTTCTTGTCTATTTGACATCGGCAGATATAACAGGAAGAAAGGATAAATCCATCCACCCAACAGGGATGTTCAGATACAAGGTATCTGTATCAGTACTGATACTTGGCATTTTCATGAGAACTACCAGGGTCGCAGTGGTTACAGCTGCAACTGGACCCTGGTGCTCCACCACTGTCCTTAAAGCATTATTCTGTAGTGTTTTAGAAAACTGTTACATGACACTAAAAAAGAAGGTATCAGTAATTGGTATCTGTGAGTACTTGGAGAAGTAACGATACTTGTACTTGGTCTGGAAAACCCTTATACATATAATGCAAATAATACATTAAAAAAGGGATGCACAAATCCCAGGAGCCCCGTAGCCAATGAACCTTAAAAATGACCGCTGCCTCCTAACTTTTGAGTTTTTCTCTAGTCTAGTCTTGGAGCTGGAAAAGTATCAGTACTTGTACCAAGTACGGAACTTGGTATCTGTGCATCCCTAGTTTAGAATTCTTGTCAGAATTTTATTGTTGATTGTATTTCCACAAAATGGGAGATTTCTCTTTGTTACCTGTCTAGATCAGGGGTACCCACGATTTTTCGTCTGGAGATCTACTTTTCAAATAACCAGCTCAAAGAGATCTACCAACGAAAAAACACCTGCAGGAGGGGGTGGGGGGGGGGTGTGGCAGTGCCATGAATTCAATGGCCCCTCGCCCACTATTTTTGCAGATCGCACTGCACCGGAATGCAGACGCTAATGTGCCTTTTTTTCCGGGTTTGCGGGCGATCTAACTGTGGGCGGGGGGCATGGATTCGGCGCCATTGACTTCAATACAACCCCACACCCCCTCCCGCCCGGCTTGCATCCCAGTGCATTCTAGAGACCGTGGCGTCCTGTCCTCCTGCTGTGCTTGTGTGGCCGATGCTACACATGGGGAGAGGCATCCCGCCCCTTTTTCCATCTGCGGCGTCTGACACATTCAGCCGGCAGCCGCACGAGCACCGCATGAGCATAGACATAGCCAGCTCCCTTTGTGCCTGAGGCAAAAAAAATCGTGCCCCCCAGAAGGTCTGTGACGTCACCCAGCGCCCTGCCTCCAGGATTTTTTTTATTTTTTACTATTTTTTATTTGATTTTTATTTTTTATTTTTAATCTTGGGGAGGCTTTCTTCATTTTTACTCTTGGGGGCTTCAGGGAAATATTAGGAGTCTTACAGCCCCCTGATATTTCCCTTTTAAAATAGAAAAAGAAATTGAGGACACAAAGTCCTCAATCTCTTTTTCTGCAGCCTCTGTTCTAAATCAATGGAAAGCACAGAGGCTTCCCATTCATTCAGAAAATATTTACTATCATCCAGTTTCTGAATAGGGAGGAGCCTCTCTACAATGCCACTCCCCATTGAGAAACTCATGAATGAACAGGAAGTGATGTCAATCACTTCCTGTTCATTCATAACTGGGGACACATAGTGCCATGTGTCCCCACTTATTTACAAACACTGGAGTGATCAGCTGATCGCTCCAGTGTTTGTCCTGCACAGAGGATCGGTACATATCATTGATATGTACCGATCTTCCACCACTCGGCCACACACACTCAGCTTCTCCTCTGGATCCCCACCGCTCTCCCGGGCAGAGGCAGTGGGGGATCTAAGGAGAAGTGAAAGAAGCACTTCAGCTGCTGGGCAGCAGAGGAGGGAGCCGCTGTCACAGCAGTTAGTCCGAGCGGTGAGGATATAGAGAGAGGCCCGCTGTCAGATCCTGGCCGAGCGTATCCCTCTCTCTCCTCAACGCTCGGCCTTACTTCTGTGACAGCGGCTCCCTCCTCCGCCGGCTGCAGCGGTTCCTTCACTTCTCCTGGGATCTCCGCTGCATACAGATGGATCCAGAGAAGCCCCATGGCGGGAGGACAGGACATCTCGATCTACCAGTGATCGCTATGCGATCAACTGGTAGATCGCAATTGACCTAATGGGCACCCCTGGTCTAGATGATGGTTATCATACAGAACACAGATAGTGTATTTAAAACCTAATAGACATGCTAATCCATTTGCTGGTGGTGCATGCACATCTGGTGAAATAATAAATCACAATACAAAAATTAATGCCACCAGCACAGTGTTGTTGGTTCTTCTCTGGCTTTTGCAGCCAAGTTTAACTGTAGGAAGACATAGAAAAACTGATGTCTCCAATGAGAAACAGAAAAACATTCTAATAATTCAAGTAAGGGTGCAGGGGCTGAAAAATTTTGTTTTTATTTTCAGATTTATTTAATGTAACCTTTGGGGCCTGTTAATTTTCCATGCATACTTACTCACCTATGAAATGTTTGAAACAGTATAATAGACTACATAGCAGTACACAGATGCACACATAGGTGGTTGAGCAGACCATATAAATATACAGTAGAGCCCATAATTCAAAAATATTTTCATAAGATTTTAACGCATATTGAGCAAAGGGAGTTTTAATATATACACTAGTTGATCATGTGGCTTTGTTTTTTTAAACTTAATTTAACAAAATTATGTTCATTGCATATTGTATTAGATTAAAAATGCTGCCAACAGTGTTTTCCATATTAAAAAAACTTCAAGCCGCAGCTTAAGTGAGCTAAAAGGGAATAATTATGCTTTTATGTATACATAACATCTAGTATATTGCAATGAAATAAAATAAGCATGTACATTAGGGATCAAAGCTTTGTTACAAAAAAAAACAAAAAACAAGAACATTGCAGGTAAGAATTAATACTTAGGGTCTCTGTATATATATATTGGCAAACCAGATAAAAAAAAGGCCTCCTAATCAAATAAGTGAAGTGCTTCAAGTTCAAGAACTTTTTTGTAGTTACTACATCCAAGTGAACAAGAAGTAGAAAAAATTACTTAACCACTTCCAGCGGGTTCACGTAAATACACATCATCCGTTGGAAATGGTTATACCAAGAACACAGCTGCTGCTGCAGCCGTGTTCTTGGTACTATTTTAAACAGCAGATGATTGCTGTTTAAATACAAGTGATCTGGCATCTGTACATGTGTCCCCCATCCAACACCGCCGCTGCCAGCTTCCCGGGCTCTGCTGTCCCCTGTGCAAGCCTGTGACCGGCGTGGTGGGTCTCCCCTGATGTATAGGAGGGGATCAGCAGGCTTCCAGCCCTGATCTCTCCTCTGATCACTGGACCTGGAAGTGATGTGCATTACATCACTTCCAGTGTCACTGTGCACATTCTCTGGCTCCTAGAGCCAGAAGAAGAAGCTGGTGAAGCAGGTCTCTGCTTCATCAGCTTCTTTGGGGGTCCCTAGTTGGCATTAGGGGTCTGAAAGAGGACCTGTTACATTACATTTGCTATTACATAGGGGGCTTTTTAGCCCCCTATGTGACAGCAATAAAGTTGAGTGTGAAAAAAAATGTAAAATCAAAGTAACAAATGAAAAAATTCTAATTTTTTTGAATATCCCCCGCCACACATGTGCACACACATATGCCCCATCAATATTTGCATATTTGCATATGAGGACATGGTAGCATATTAGGGACCTTGGACAACTGAGCTAATATATAGGCACCTGTAGCTGCATGGCTATTCGTAAAATTTTTAAATTAGGAGCTTTTAAAAAAATGCATAATAGTTCTAATACTAATGCAGCAAAAGAAGCATTACTACAAAGGAAGACTACAACCAATAAAACAAAAATGCTTTTTTACATATTTGAGGAGTTTATTTTTTTTCAGTATGTTTCATTTGCCTGATTTATTATAATTAGAACAAAAAATGTGCCT